CACACTACTCAACAGACTTGATGGTGAATGATTCTTGGCTTTTTCCAAAATCCAACATACTCTGAAGGATGGGTTGATTAAGTGTAATGGAGAGAGCACAGACTTGACAACTGGAAGCCCAGGATTCTGGTCCCAGCACCTGCCATACTCCTACCAAGCATTCCTGTGATTCAGAGGCACCCAGATACTGAGTTCCAGGCCATGTGACAATCTTGATCGAGACACAACCTCTCTGAGCCTCAACTTTCTCATGCCTATAATGGATATCATCTACCTTATCTACCTCAATAGGTTGCAGGGAGGATACGTGGTTGATGTTTCTATCCTTACTCTATGATTAATAGTCTCAGGTCTGTAAAAGGCCTCCAAGAACATCTAGTCCAACCACTTCTTCAGGCATGAATTCCCTCTTCAATGTACTCAATAAGGGGGTTCGGATGTATAAATGGTGAGTATAGATGATGGTGTCTTGTACTAGGCAAATCTGGCTTCCTTTCAACCACTTTTACTAATGAGAACCCAAACACCACAGTCAGGGTGCTCATGCCAATGATGTAGCCACTGCCAATTGGGTCTCTGAATAGAGAGAATGATAATGATGATAATAATAACTAGCATAATGATTTGAGGTTTGCGAAGCACTTTACAAATCTTATTTAATCTACATAACCATGTGAGATAGGTTGTATTATTATTGACATTTTACACATAAAGGAACAAAGGCTGACAGATGCGAGGTGAGGTGTCCAGGGTCATACAACTAGTAAGTGGCAGGATTCAAACTCAGGTCTTCTGAACTCCAAGTCCAGCACTCTATTCACTGTACCACCCAGTTGCCTACCTTAAGAGATCTTGAGCTTCAGGGATCCAGAGATACTGCACTAAATGGGACTGACAACCATAAGCAAACCAGAGCAGATCCATCAGCGATCCCTGGTCTCAAGAGCATTGAAAGTGCCACAGGGCCAGCCTTCCAGGGACTCAGTCTCTGAAAGCTGAGTTGCTAGCTATGTGACAATCTTGATCAAGTCATGTGCTCCACATGCAGGGTACCCCCTGAGAAGATCTTGTCCCCTACAATTTAAGTATGAAGTAGTCTTCCAGTTAGAGTTCAGTCTGACCTGATGGACCAGAAGACCAAGTACTTACTGACTAAGGCACCAGACAGAACTCCCTACCACCCACACACCCATTTCCCCCATGTTTGGAGTAGCAGTCATTGGAAGCATGTGCCACTTCCCCAGATTGATGCTGCGCTCATTCATCACAGAACACTAGAGATGGGAGCCTCAGTATCTCAGCCCCTTCCTGCCTTAGGGCTGGCAAACATTAACCAAACGCTCACCTTCATTTCTGTGATTCAATCTCCCAATGGTGAGGTCAAAATTCTTCCCCCCCCCCAAGATCTCTTTCTTCATTTTATCTGTATCTACCTCAGTCTATTCCTACACAGTCTATATCTTCTTTTTCATTTCATTTTGTTCTCTGAACAACCTATTAACAGAGGGCCCTTCATTCTATCTCTTTTTAAAAGTTCAATCTTTCTTCATCCAACACCCTTCATATCATCAAGTATTTATGGAAATGAATATTCATGCCCCCTAGGAGACACCAATTCATGGCCACCCTCTTACTAGCTATTGTGCTCTTTTAAACAGTGGGCCAAGACAAGAAGCAGACATATTCCTTGCTCCTGGATACCCTTCCTCTGCCACCATCAGTCAGAAACCTCCCCTTCTAAGTTCATCACTCTATCGAGACCATTGTTTCTTTTGTCTCCCAACATTCAAGTCATTCCTGCTCCTTTCTTGAGGACTTCTACACCTCACTCATTACACTGTAGTGTATGTGGCACACTGCCTGGCACACAGCAAGCACGTAACTAATGCTTCTTGACTGCTTGACTGACATGCCAATCCCTACCCTCACACTTGAGGACTTAATTCACCTCCTTAACTCCTGAGATCTCAATCTTCATGTACCTTAGCTTCATGAATTGAATAGCAAATCTGCTCTTAACAGGGACAGTCTCCATGCTTCTACTTAAGGAATCCTGGAGAATGACAGTTATGCTGCGGAACTGGAGATGGGCCAGTTGTGCTGCAAAGATACTGAAGTGGTTTAGCATTTCCTTCTTCAGTTCATTTTACAGATGAGGGAACTGAGGCAAATAGCAATAAGTGACTTGCCCAGGGTCACATAGCTAGTAAGTGACTGAGGCCAAATTTGAATTCAGGAAGATGAGTCTTCCTGACTCCAGGCCCAGCACTCTAATCACTGTGCAACCTAGTTGCACCTATAAGTCAATATGGTTTCATTAATAAGTCATGCTAAACTAAGCTCATTTCTTTATTTGGCAAACTTGGTAGATCAGATAATTGTCATATCTTAGACATTACCATCAAACATAACAGTTGAAAAATACACATTTAGAGCTAGAAGGGATCTCAGAAGCCATACAGTTGTATGCTCTCATTTTCACTGCATGCTAACTGGCTACCTGTCTCCCTGGTCTTGAACTCTGAAAGTGTTCTGATTGTAGTTCTCTATCCTGCCATCTCCATCTTAATCCTCCCAAAATTATTCTTAATCTTCACCTTGACTTATAATTCATCTACTTCCACCTGTTCATCACACTTAATCTGGTTTCATTCCCCTTCTCACAGTTTGAACACATTCATTTCATATTACAGCATGGAATAATGACAAAAACATTGTATTTGGAGTAAGACGATTTGTATTCAAATCCTAGCAATACCACTTACTGCCTATATGACCTTGGTTAAGTCATTTCTCCTCTCATCAGTCCCCTTATCTACAAAATGAGGGGTTTGATCTAGATGGCCCCTAATAAGTTCCTTTTTAACTTTAACTTTTGTGATTCCATCAGTTTCTGCACTCTGGTCTCCAGGTTATCCAGATTCTATCAACTGATATATTGGCTTCTTTTTTTTTTTTCATCTGGAAATGTGTCTTCATCCATAAAGGTATGGGACAAAACAGAGCCAAGGACAGTCCTGGTGCACTCTACTATAAACTTCTTCCCAAGTTGGCATCAATCCACTGACCTCTACTCTTCGGGTCTGGTCATTCAAATAGTTCTAAACCCACCTAACTGTTGCATCATCCAGCCTTCATTCCTTAACCTTATCTGCTAGGGGCAGACTGTCAAATACTTTGCTAAGATCCATGTATACAAGACATTTGGCATTGTTCTGATCTTTCTTCCTTGACTATTTTTTTTTAAAAAATAGTCTAACATGCCCTGTGTTTTAATGAGTCCATTCATGCTAGCAGCATGACCACTGTTTCCCTAAGGAGCTTACAAACCACTACTTCATCTGTTCTAGTATTTTTCCAGAGACCATCCATCTATACCTCCCCTCTCCTTTTTTTTAAAAAAATCTGGGTGATATTTTTCCAATCAATCTTGTGGCAGTCACATGAAGAATAGATTAATAACCCAATTCTGCAAGCATTCACTAAGTCTACCAGGCACTATGGAAGGCACTACGAATAACAAGACAAACTCTGGAGAGTGAGGGAAGGTGACATTTCTTGATGTGCTTCAATGGTTTGACTCACAGCCTGGCTCTTTTCATTCATTGTGTTAGTTGAAAAACATTGCTTGTTACAAACCCCACATAGAATAATTCTCTCACAATATCTAAAGAAAGCCAATCATCCCTGCAGCCTCAGTTTGTGCTCTCACTGTGGGGCCAAGTGAGTAATGAGGTCTGGAAAACCTTGCAGTCCTAGAAGAGAAAGTAAACAAAGCTTTAAGCACATTGGTTAGGTGGCACAGGCTCCAGTCCAATGGAGTCACATGGAAATGAAGCATTTATATGGACAGAAATCAAAGGTTACCAACTGGGCAGCAAACATAAGACTTCTCTCTGGGCAGGAATGGCTAAAGCCTTTTCTCCATCAAGCCTATTAATATATTGGCAGCTTATTTACACTAATTTCCTGCCTAGCACTGGTCCATTTTGGTTCCAAAAGGGACAAAGTGTTTATTCTCAAAAATGAGTGGGCTGCAGCTTAACAATGTGCATCCCATCTGAGGCCCATTAGCTTCCTTTCTTTTCCCAGTCTTTCCCAGGAGTCCCTAACTCAGTGTACCCCAAAGGTCTTCCTACCCTCTAACATTATCTCTGTCCCTAAAAAGTTGAGCTAGATGGCTTTCTTCTTGAGCACATCTGTTGGGAGGTGGCCTGATGTAGTAGGAAACACATTGCATTTAGAATCAAATGACCTGGATTCAAATCTTGGCCCTTCATCTTTACTGACTTTATCTGATCTTGAGCAAGTCACTTAACTCCTCTTGGCCTTAGTTTCTTCCACTGGAAAATAAGAGGATTGGGCTAGAAAATCTCTACCATCTGTCAACTTTGAATTTCATTAACCTAAGTACTAGATGCAAATTCTAGGCTCTTTTTCCCTACCTAGTTAGCTAAGATATAACTAAAAAAAAAAAGTGAGGGAAGTAATCTGGCCATATTTCTCCTGCCTGGTTTTTGGTTAGCCCTTCTCCACTAGTGCATGGGGAAGCATGGAAGCCCATTGTAGTGGATAGACCTATTGGACTCAGAGTCAGGAGATCTGGGCTCCAAACCAACTGAAAACACTTAGCAAAGATGTAATCTAAAAAGAATCGCTGCAGCTCTCAGCGTCCTCCTCCAAAGAATGAGGTAATAAACCTTCATTCGTGTCTCCTCAACATCAAGACGAAAGTACTTTGCAAGCCTTAAAACGCTACAGAAATGAGAGAGTCACCGTAATGGGGAGGTGAACCTGCCAGTAGAAGTGAAAACCTATCCAAATATGGAGAGGTGAAAATGAAATTCTAAAAACAGCAGAAAAGTCCCCAAGAAAGAGAAAAAGGAGGAAAAGATCTGGGAATTCCTGGTTAAGAATAAGAAAAGGGGAGGAGGAGGGCGATAGTGGTGGCTTTAGTGGCGGGGAGGAGAGGAGAAAGTAAAGCACAGGGTCATGCTTACCACCTAGCCAGTCGCTAGAGATGTTCTGGAGCATGGTGACTGGGATGCAGAAGAAGGTAACGAGCAAGTCGCTGAGTGCCAGGGAACCGATGAAGATGTTGGTGACCTTCCGCATAGCCTTGCTCCTGGTCACCACATACAGCACCAGGCCATTGCCGAAAAGCGCCAAGATGAAGATGAGCACGGAGGTGAGCACGAAGGCTAGCTTGGCGGCGCCTGGCAGCTCGGGACTGTAGACGAGGGGCCGCAGCCGGTACAGAGAGATGAAGTGCTCGCGGCTCATGTTGTGCTCCCGCAGGAGCCGGGCTAACTGCTCCGGGGTGATGTTGACGGACTGCATGAAGCGCACTGAACAGAACAACACTGAACTAAGGAAGTAGGTACCTAGACTGCAGCCCTGTCACCGCAGCCAAGACTCCAAGAGCTGTCCAGGGTCCCAGCAGCTGAGGTCAGCCGGGCGAAGTAGGAGCGCGGGGAGCGTGGTGGAGTGGGCTGGTGTGTCTGCAAGGGTCTGCAAGGGGAAAGCTGGGAAGCCCGTGAGGAGGCCGTGAGGACCTGAAGTATTCCAAAGAAACAGGAGAGCTTCCACTGCCCTCCTAGAAGCTGGGGCCTGACCTCCAGGGCGCGATTCCCGCTCTCTGCTCGACTCCTGGTCCGTGGTCTGAGCCCCGCTGCTCACCTTACTGAGGGAGCAAGAGGACCGGAGCAAGTCCTCACCTAGAATAGTACTGAACAGTCAAAGCTGGAAGGGACCTCAGAGGTGTAGTCCAACCCTGTCATTTGACACATAAGGAAACTGAAGTACAAAGAAGTCAGGTGACTTGTCCGAGGTAACTCGACTAGACTCTGGATTCTCCAAATCCAGCTCTTTCTCGATTCACCTCAGAAGACTGAGGGAAATGGAAAGAAAAAAGAAAAGGGGGATGCCCCCAAACGAAGAGAGAGCCAGTTTGGAGGGTTGCAAGGAAAGACCAAGAAGATTTTCAAGCTCACAGAAACTTCTCTCCTGCGGGAGGGTCTAGGAGCTGCGAAGGAAACCGGAGAAAGGCTCTGCGGGACTCAACCCTGCTCTCGAGGAGAAAAAGCTGCACCGCCGGCCTCCCAGCCCGGGTTCAGCTTCACTTCCTTCTCAGCTTCTGGGATGGGGCTGCTATGCCCCTCCGTACAGAACCAAGACGCCCAAGAGAAGGAAGTTGCAGGAGCGCAAGGAAGACCACTCGCCCTGAGCACCTGCTTCTGGGCTCCCAAGTCACGAGAGGGCGGGGCGGGGGTGGGCTTTAATCTTGGCCGCCGTCCAATCAGAATGCACGACGCGCCAGCTACTCCCGCACCTGCAAGCCCAGTCCGCCTGGATTGCCCACTTCACTCAGACTCACCCTCACCCTGATTGTAGGCGTCCTCTGGCTTTGCTTGGGATCGGCTTCTGTCATTCAAATTCCTTATTTTAGTGGTGAAGAAATTGAGGCACAGACTGGAAAAGGGATTTGTCCAAAAGTGGAAATTCAATCCAGATTGAGTCCTCAGCCCCACATCCAGAGTTTTTCTCTGTATATTTGTGATTTCCTCAGCTGGGAACTTTCTTCTATTCCTCCTAAACGAATAATTCAGAACAAAACAAAACACTAGTCTCCACCAACTTGTGACCACAGAATCATATATTTAGAACTGGAAGAGATCTTAGAGGCCATGGAGTTCAACACTCTCCTTTTACGATTGAGGAAACTGAAGCACAGAGACGTTAAATGACTTGCCTAGGGTCACACAGCTAATCAGTTTTTAATTTTTTTTCAGCTAATCAGTTTTTGAGATAGAATTTGAACCCAAGTCATCTTGATTCTAACTGCAGTGTCCTGTTCCAATAAGTTCTATGTAGTAGATTTTTTCTTTCATTTTTAATTTATGGTATAAAACAAGCATTTACATAACATAACATAAAAAATGCACATGAAGCTGCAAATCTATCATATACAATTTGCTATTGGATTGAGTCGCATAGAAAGAACTACTTGGCCGAGGTTACACAGTTCCTGCATACATACAAAGGGCACTTTTTTGCTCCAAGAACAGTCCCCTGTCCCCTAGCCTTCCCTGCCATGAAGAGTTATGGCTGGCGGGTGCACACACACACACATATATTATTGGCTAGTAGCAAACTTCTAGTGCTGAAACAATGCCAGAGGACTCGGCTATGACTCTCCTCTGGTGATTGACACACACAAGGTTCTTCACTGGTCTGAAAGCCTGTCTCAGTAGGATAGTCAGAGCTTGCAACCCATAGCAAATTTGAGAGAGCCTTAGATCACCACTTTGATAAGTTTAAACTGGGGATGGGAATGAAAAAAGAGTACTTACGGTGATGTCTTTTTAATTTTTTTTTTAGACAATCATCTAGGTAGCTTGGGGAAGAATCTTGCCTGGTAGGGCAATGTGTCATTTCCACAGCACTGAGAAATGGGAGGTTCTCAATGAATTCACACTCAATTTTGGAGATTCAAGGGAAGAAAACAACTCTGGAGTGCTTTCATAAACTTTTCTGGGAGGCTGGTTTTTCCAGATCGTGAAGTTATCATTTCTAAGCTACTTAGTACTGAGGAAATAATAGAAAAGGAGATCAGTGTAATGGATTATTAGATTTATGAGCAAAAATATTTATTGAACAATGAATGGCTCAATAAATATAAGAATGAAAATTACAGGGGTAAATATTTATTTAATGAAAACTGCTGGGAAAATGAAAAGGTAGTTTGAGGGAAATGCATTATTCACACAAATACCCTAAGCAATTCCAAATGGATAAATGATCTAAATATAAAGAGCCACATTTTTTTTACAAAGAGGAAAATTGAAGGTTATTTCGATAACAACTCTATTCAGAGGAAGAAATGTTTGAACAACTGCCACATAAAGAAATATTAAAGAACAAAATATTATTCCTATGAAAAATTTTTAAGGTTTTGCACAAATAAAAACACAATAGTCAGAATCAAAAAAGATATAGCTTGGAAGATAATCCTTTTATTAAATACATCTAATAAAAGTATGAAATTCAAAATCTATAGGTAATTGAAATCTAGCAACTGAGATATCCCCATATTCTAGACCTCCCCTAGAATAGCTACCTGAGGTTTAAGGTTCTTCATGGATCTACATGCACTCAATGAGATTGTTCATTCATATATTTATTTTTTCTCTAGTCAACCAGAGGGTATAATTAGTGTGACTAATATATACCAGTGTCTCTTCCATGTAGGCTGGGCTTGTTTTCCTCTAAATAAATAGTGAAACTCTCCTTGAAAACTTACAATACTTAGTCTAGGTGACTAAGTTAGCTTTCTGGTTGACTGAGTATAAATGCCAGCCTATGAGAAGTCACAACATCTTCCCTCCAGCTTTACCAGTATGCCAACAGGTAAATGGCACTCAAGTGAATCAGTGCTGTCTCCTTGCTGAATATTCTTTCTATGCTTATTTTTTTTAAACCTATAATATGGCCTAAGACTCTCTCACTTTATTCATTCCAGTGCCAAACCTGAGTCACTTTGTTGGCCTGAGTCAGGTCTGGTATACAACAATTCATTCAAAGCAAAAGGATTTCGTGAAATAGCGTAGTAAGATTTTCAATAAAAGATTCCCCCATAAACCTAGGGCACAATCTCCCACAAATACATGAGGGCCGGGGGAATAGAAAGCATGCAAAGGGATCACACATGAGGTGTGGGGGGCAGAGAGGCAACTCATACCTGGAACACTACATTATCCTTGATATCTTCTGGTTTTGACTTGGTGATACTCTTATTGGGCCTTCTCATCAATGATTGTGACTTTTCTTCTGGATTTTTAATTCTACTGGGCTCTACAGATGTCCACACATATCTCTCCGTCATTAAAATTGCTACACATTGTCCCTAAGGCTGCATCTTCCTATTGGTTCTTGAACATCTGTGGTCCTACCCTCAATGGGCACACTGGATTGCTGATACATGCTGCTCTGTGTAAGGCATTGCTCAAGTACCTGCTAAGTATGTAATCTCTGTTGGGTTTTACTTCCTTCTACTATCTTCTGGCCTTATCTCTTCAGACTGCCACTCAGTGTCAGTCTGCTAGGATATACAAATTAGGATCTCTCACTGTTACGGGGAGGCTTCATTCAAGGCCACTGCATCCAGCTAACAAAATCCCAGCAAAGTGATCCCCAGCTTAAAGTTAGCTCTTTTCTTTAAAATTTATTTTATTTTTAATTTATGGAATAAAGCAAGTGTTTCCTTAACATAGTATAATAAAAAAGATGATTTTACATGAAACTGCAAATCTATTTGCACAATTTGTTATTCCTTTTAAATATATAATAAAGTTATCATGTACATTTCTTTTTTTCTTCCCTCCTCCCCCCACCCTAGAAATGGTTACTATTAGATACAAATGGGAAATTATGTGTAAAATTATTCTATACATAATTCTGTTTATCAGTTCTTTCTCTGGATACAGATAGCATCTTTTATATGTCCTTTATTGTTAATTTGTGTATTTATAATAGTAAAAATGACTTATTTGCTCAAAATTGTTGTTTAAATTTATTTAATTTTTAATTTGTGGAATAAAATGAGTAATTCCACAACATAATTTACTAAAAGAGGTAATTGTGCATGAAATTGCAAAACTGTACAAACTGTTATTCTTTTGAAATATATAACAAAGTTAACATGTAAATTTCTTTTTTTCTTTCTTTTTCATTCTTCTCTCCCTGCCCCCACCCACCTAGAGATGGCCACCATTAGACACAAGTAGGTATATGTGTACATGTACACATACACTTATGTAATTATTCTATGCATACTTCCATTTATCAGTTCTTTCTCTGGATGCAAATAACGTCTTTCTTCATATGTCCTTTATTTTTATTTTGTGTATTTATAATAGTAAAAATGACTTATTTGATAATGTTATTCTTAAAATAATATTGCTGAGACTTAAATAAATGAATAAATAAAATATAAAAACTAATAAAAATATACAATATTGCTGTTACTGTATACAATGTTCTCTTGGTTCTGCCCATTTCATTCTTCATTTTTTCATGCAAGTCTTTCCATGTTTTTCTAAGCTCTTTGAGCTCATCATTTCTAGTAGCACAGTAGTATTCAAACACAATTATATACCACAACTTGTTGAATTTCCCTCCATCTCATTTTTACTCACTCTTTCCCTTCTCAAACTCTCTTTTTACCCTATCATTTTTACCTTATCTTCTCCCACTACCCTCCAACTCCTTTTTTTCACCCACTCCTCCAAGACTCCCTCCTCCATCCCTCCTCCCACCCTAGCAATCTCAATCCATATACCCTTCCAAAATGCCCCTTCCCCATCTTTTCCCCCCACCCCCTAAATCATAATACATATTCCACTCTAAAAGTCCTTTCTTCATTCTGTCTCCCAGTTTTCTACACCCTTCCAGATGTATACGTTGTTTTCTTTTCAACCCAACGGTACCAACCCTATACCCTCACCTGCTTCCTCTGTATTAGTTCTTCCTTTCACACCCCATTTTATGATATAATTGCTCCTTTTTACCTTTTCCAGCCCAATTTTATTTTCTAGAATCATGGGATCATACACAACTAAGACCCAACATTTATTTCATACTATCTTTGTAATTATGGCAGTTTTAAGAAAACTGACATCATTTTCATAAATATGATAAATAAACAGTTTGACTTAAATGAATGCCTTATAATTAGTCTTTAAATACTCTTTCCTTTTCAACTTCTGTATCTCAGAAGAAGACTTCTGTTACAGATTTAATTTAATTAAAGATTAGGGACTCAAATGCACTTCCAAGAAGCTTTCTGGCTTAGTCTGCAAATGAATTTTAGTCAAAACAATATGTAAGCAAAGAAGGCCAGGTCAGCTCTCTATCTAGACTGTATTCCTGATTGTATTGTGTGCATCAGTCAACTGCAAAGTCTCATTGTTTTCATGCCCTATTTTGGCTACTGATGAAGCTCAGCTTTCCTGAATAAAAAATAGTTAAAAGCTATTACCCCAGTTGAAAAGCAGTAAACAGTTATGATTAGACAGTTTTGAAATGGAGAAACACAAGCTATCAATGACTTTCTAAAGGGTGTAAATCTGTTGTGAGCAGAGAAATGCAAATTACAGCAATTCATAGGTATCACTTTATACCCATCAAAAATAAAAGATGGACAAACCTGAGCACTAGCTAG